GACAGATTTGTTCATTCTTTTGGCAGACCATGGTTGTCATGAATTATGTCCCCCCAAAAAATGTGTGTATCAGTTTGACTGGGCCATGATTCCCGGTATTGCATAATTTTCCTATATGTTGTAAATCCTGCCTCTATGATGTTAATGAGGGAGGATGGGCAGCAGTTGTGTTAGTAAAGCAGGACTCAGTCTACAAGATTGGATTGTGTCCTGAGGCAATCTCTTGAGATATAAAAGAGAATAGGGAGCAGAGAGACAGGAAGACCTCATACCACCAAGAAAGCAGTGCCAGGAGCAGAGTGCATCCTTTGGACCTGAGGTTCCTGTGCTGAAATGCTCCCAAACCAAGGGAAGACTGACATGGACCTTCCTCCAGAGCTGACAGAGAAAGCCTTCCCCTGGAGCTGATGCCCTAAATTTGGACTTCTAGCCTACTAGACTGCGAGAAAATAAATTTCTCTTTGTTAAAGCCCTCCACTTGTGGTATTTCTGTTATAGCAGCACTAGATAACTAAGACAATGATATATTCAATATTCTTCGCCAACACCATAATTCAAAGGCATCAATAATTCTTCAGTCTTTGTTATTCGTTGTCCAGCTTATGCACACATATGAGGCGATTGAAAACACCATGGCTTGGGTCAGGCGCACCTTAGTCCTTAAAGTGACATCTTTACTTTTTAACACTTTAAAGAGGTCTTTTGCAGCAGATTTGCCCAATGCAATACATCGTTTAATTTCTTGACTGCTGCTTCAATGGCTGTTAATTGTGCATCCAAGTAAAATGAAATCCTTGACAACTTCAATCTTTTCTCTGTTTATCATGATGTTGCTTATTGGTCCAGTTGTGAGGATTGTTGTTTTCTTTATGTTGAGGTGTAATCCGTACTCAAGGCTGTGGTCTTTGATCTTCATCAGTAAGTGCTTCAAGTCCTCTTCATGATCGTCAAGCAAGGTTGTGTCATCTGCATAACACAGGTTGTTAATGAGTCTTCCTTCAATCCTGATGCCCCATTCTTCTTCATATAGTCCAGTGTCTCAGATTATTTGTTCAGTATACAGATTGAATAAGTATGGTGAAAGGATACAATCCTGATGCACACTTTTCCTGACTTTAAACCATGCAGTATCCCCATGTTCTATTTGAACGACTGCCTCTTGGTCTATGTACAGGTTCCTGATGAGCACAATCAGGTGTTCTGGAATTCCCATTCTTTGAAGTGTTATCCATAATTTGTTATGATCCACACAGTCGAATGCCTTTGCATAGTCAATAAAACACAGGTAAACATCTTTCTGGTATTCTCTGCTTTCAGCCAAGATCCATCTGACATCAACAATGAAATCCCTCATTCCACATTCTCTTCTGAATCCAGCCTGAATTTCTGGCAGTTCCCTGTCTATGTACTGCTGCATCCACTTTTGAATGATCTTCAGCAAAATTCTACTTGCGTATGATATTGCTCGATAATTTCCACATTCTGTTGGATCGCTTTTCTTTGGAATAGGCATAAACATGAATCTCTTCCAGTCAGTTGGCCAGGGAGCTGCCTTCCAAATTTCTTGGCACAGACAAGTGAGCACTTCCAGCATTGCATATGTTTGTTGAAATATCTCAATTAGTATTCCATCAATTCCTGGAGCCTTGTTTTTCACCAATATCTTCAGTGCAGCTTGGACTTCTTCCTTCAGTACTATCGGTTTGTGATTATATGCTACTTCCTTAAATGGTTGAAGGTCGACCAATTCTTTTTGGTACAGTGACTCTGTGTATTTCTTCCATCTTCTTTTGATGCTTCCTGTGTCATTCAATATTTTGCCCATAGAATCCTTCAATATTGCAACTCGAGGCTTGAATTTTTCTGGAGTTCTTTCAGCTTGAGCAATGCTGAGTGTGTTCTTCCCTTTTAACTCCAGGTCTTTGCATATTTCATTATAATACTTTGTCTTCTCGAACCACCCTTTGAAATCTCCCATTCAGTTCTTTTACTTTATCATTTCTTCCATTTGCTTTAGCTACTCTATGTTCAAGAGCATCTTTCAGTCTCTTCTGACATCCATTTTGGTCTTTTCTTTCTTTCTTGTCTTTTTAATGACTGGTTGCTTTCTTTGCGTATGATGTCCTTGGTTTCATCCCACAGCTCATCTGGTCTTCAGTCATTAGTGTTCAATGCATCAAATCTACTCTTGAGATAGTCTCCAAATCAGGTGGGATATACTCAAGGTCTTATTTTGGCTCTTGCTGACTTGTTTTAATTTTCTACAGCTTCAACTTGAACTTGCATAAGAGCAATTGATGGTCTGGTCATGATGTTGAAGGGCTGGGCCTGTGGCAGCAGTGGGCAGAGGCAGGAAGTCTCAATTTGAGATTTGGCTGGAGGAACAGTTTCCAGAGATGATGAGGTCTAGGTGGTGATGGGGGAGGGGTGAAGGTCACAGGTGGGTATGTGTTGGGGAGAACTGGGAGGGCAGGGCAGGGTGACCTCTCCTGAGCTGATGAGAGTGCTTCCTGCGCTGGGTGACTTTCTTCTCAGTCACTGCCTGCAGCCTCTTTTGGCCCTCAGTTGCCATGTCTCCTCCTCAGAGAGATGTCCCAGCTACCCCATTGCAAACAGGCCCCCCTCCTCTCAGTCTGTGACCACTCAGGAGTGCCACTGAGTTGATGGTCCTCTTCCCCTAGAGGCCTATCCATTTTGTTCTGATGTCCCTAACTCCGAGTACTGTGACTGAGGCCTGGTCAGAAGGAGAGGGAGCCAGGACAGGTGGACGGTCCCTGTAAAAATGGTGTGGGGGCAGTGTCTGACCTCCTCTAACTTCACAAGGGGAAAGGAGAATCAAGATCAACTCCCCAAGGCTGATTCCTATCAGGAGCAAGTCAGACAAACCTTGTCTCTCTGCCATCTTTACCAATTCTGACACCAACCGTCCCTCCCAAGGCACTCTCTACTTCTCTGCTGGGTTTGATAATTCACTGCGATGGCCACACAGAACTCACAGACCATACTCATGATTATCAGGTTTATTAGGGAAGTAACAGGTTACAATTCAGGCTCAGGAACTCTGAGGATACAGTTCTTCCATCGGGACAGACACTTTTCAGCTGTGCTCGCAGGCACACCTCTCTCTGGCTCTAGGGGTCTGCCCTGCTCAGGCAACTGTGACAATGCTCTTTTAGCCCCTTCCAATAAGACCCCAGAAGCACCCCAGGCAGTCAGCTTTCTCGCTCCATGGGCCGGGAAGCCCCCTGCCCTGTCTCCTGCCAGTGTCTTCTGCCACCACCTCCTGCTATCTTCAGGGTTATAGCTTGCTCACTCTCTCTCGGTCTCCTGGTTCCAGAAGCTTCTCAGTGCAGGGATCCAAAGGACACACTCTCTGCTCCTGGCTGTTCTTCCTTGGTAGTGGTGGGATCCTCTCTCTCCTGTTTCTGGGATGGCTCACCTTAAACAGCGCGATGGCAAAACTAACCAATCCTTTTGGTGGGCTACAATTATCCTATTAGCACAGTCCCACCCAATCACTTGGGTGGGAGTTAGAAGACCATGGCGAGAAAGGCCACACAAAAGCGATCCATTGCTCAGACAGAAGGGCATTCATCTCCTGGCTAAAGCCCCCATTCTGCTGCTTCCCTGATTTTGCCCAAGGATGGCTCCAGCATGGGGGTGGTGCGGTGGGAAGACCCCTCAAGGGAGCTGTGCCTAGGTCCCTTTAGGTACAAACTGCACCACAGAACTGCACTTCCAACACTCGGTTCCCTTTCAGCTGAAATGTCAAGCCCACAAAGGCTGTGTCCCCGTGCCTGGAACAGCACGTGGCACATAGTAGGTGGTCAGTAAATGTGGGATGTTGAGTGAAATGAACGCATGAATACATGAATGAATGAAAGCTGGACCCTACCTGGTTCTCTTTGGCAAGGGATTTTCCTAAATGCCTTCCTATCCTTGGAAACCTTCATCCTGAAGCACCTCCCCCATTCCCACAGTTCGTTTCTCCCACAGGCTGAGGGTGGTCCCTGGGCCCCAAAATGGGGCCAGGCATCAAGAGGACCCCCGGGAAACAAGCAAAAGTGGATCTGTCTCTTCGCCATCTCCAGAACTCCAAGAGGAGGGTGTGGCCTTGCCACCAGCCACTGTCTGCGGGCAAAAGCACGTTCGGGAGGGCAGGCCAGATAGTGTGGCTGGAGAAGGGGTGTTTGCAGGCGGGGTCGGCCCACAGTGCGACTGGGGCTGGAGAGGGGGCGCCCGCGTTTACTGACTCGCTCGTTCAATAATTATTGCTCAGCACTGTCAAGATGATGGGGCTCCCATAGTGAGCAAGCCCGACAACGACGTCAGGAAGGGGGCCCTGAGCAAGTAATGACAACCACCTTCAGTGCGGGGAGGGAAAATCGAGATCCGAGGAATGAGAAACAAAGAGTGGACGGCTAGGATGCGGAGGCTGGACCTCCGGCCAGACGGAGCAAGCGACCTTCTTCGTTTCGCAGGGTGACTTGGAAGGCGAATTCGAGAACTAAATCCCGGGAAAGCGCCATCTAGGGGGAGGAAACTGGGATTTCCACGCGCCTTCGCCCCACGCGTCAGCCCGGCGGGCTATCCGCCCTGCCCCGGGGACGCGGGATTCCCTGCCACAGGCCCCAGGCTGGCCCTCAGCCGCCTCCGCGCGCCCGCATACCACAAACACGCGACGCGTCACTCTTGTCGTCATCTCCCACGGCCGTACAGGGAGCGCACCATGGGTGGCGCCATGATGCGTTACGGAAACCGAGGGGCCTTCTTTCGCGGCGCCTCGTCTCTTGGGTCCTCGGGCGTCGCCACGAAGCTTCCCGAAGGCGCGCCCGCCACCCAGAAGCGTCCTCGCTCGGGCCCCGCCCAGTGAGGGGCGAGCCGCCCGCGACGTCTCCCCAGGCCGCGGCCCGGCTGGGCGCCGCCATATTGTGGGGTCCTCGCCAAGGCGCGTAGGTATCTTCATAAGATGCCGGTTCGGCAGCGCTCGGCTTTTTCCTCCCAAGATGGCGTCCATGCGGGAGAGTGATACGGGTCTGTGGCTCCACAACAAACTGGGGGCCACCGACGAGCTGTGGGCGCCGCCCAGCATCGCGTCCTTGCTCACGGCCGCGGTCATCGACAACATCCGCCTCTGCTTCCACGGCCTCTCGTCGGCCGTGAAGCTCAAGCTGCTGCTCGGGACCCTGCACCTCCCGCGCCGCACGGTGGACGAGGTAAGGCGGGCGGCGGAGTCGGGAGGGGACGAGAGTGAGGGCGCGGGGCTCCGAAGCCAGGGAGAGTGAGGGGCGTGGGTGAGGCCAGGGGCTCCGGGGCGCGGGGCTCAGGGGTGGGCGATGGCAATGGACGCGGATCCCGGCCGTCCCACCTCCCTCCAGCCCCAGACCTCCGGGTCCTCTCTCTGCCGGCCCTCAGCCCCACTTTGGTCCTCACTTTCTCCTCCCCCCGGCTTCACCCCCTTCTGACTCTCACCCTCCTCCTCCCCGACCCTCACCTACCCCGGACCCTCACCATCTATAACCCTCACCCACTCCTGACGCTCACCCCCTGTGAACCTCCCCCACCATCGGTCCCCACCTCACCCACCCCGGGACCGGCCCCCTCCTGAGCTCACCTACCCACTCCCGGCCCCACCCCCTTCTAACCTCACCCACCCCCGAATCCGCCCCCCTTCTGACTTCGTCCATGCCCGGACCCTCACCCACCCCGGGCCCTCCTCTCCTCTGACCTCACCCACCCGGACCGTCTCCCCTGCGGGCCAGCCTCCACAGCATCTTACCGGTGGCAGGAGCTTGCCCCAGCTTCGTGGAGGACTTCGAGGATGGACCCAGATTAGGGCATTGTTAGCCACCCGCGAGAGGGGCACGTCCGCGGGCATGGTGGCGACTTCCCCACGAATACATACCGTGGGTGGCGAAGGCGATGTGTTAAGAATAGTGGCTAGCACGTTGATTCGGGAGAGAGAGTTATAGGCTGAATGTGAGACATCAGGTCCTGCCTTAACTGGGTCTGTGAAGGCTGACCCCCGGGCAGTGCTGGTCTGAGACCTCTGGTTCTCAAGGCCATACTTTCTTTTCAAAAGTCTTAGTGTAACTTTTCAAGTTACTGTCGACCTTGAATTTGTTTTTACCCTACAAAGTATCCACCTATTTGGATTGCTTTGTATTCTTTTTGTTTATTTTCTGCATGCTAATGTTTTTACATCGTTTTCTCGTTAGTAGGTGTGTGAATTTTGTTTCCTCCTTAACGTTATATTATATCATTTTCTGTGCAAAATAAACTAAGTAGTTTTTCAAAATATTGAAGCACTGTATTTTCTTAAACATTCCCCAGCTACTGTTGCAACTATTTTTTATGTTGTTATAGTTTGTAATTGTTTTTATTGTAAACTACGCATACAGAAGTCCAGAAGACATATTTGTTCAGTTTAAACGAATAATAGCAAAGTGATCCACTCCTGTTATCACTACACAGGTAAAGAATTAGAACAGTGCTCCATGCTCAGAGTCTATAGCCCCCTCTCCCCCAACCCCTATTCCTAATCACAACCCTGTCCTTCCCATCCTACCCTTACTTTAGGGTAATCGTGTCCTTGCTTTTCTTTGTAATTTTGTTAACTCTGTATGCATTCTTAAACAGTAGAGTTTTGGGTTTTGCCTTTTTTTTTAGCTTAATATTACGCTATAACACTGTGTGTATTTTGTATGTGTGGTATATGTGTGTCTGTTTTCTTTGAGACACGTTGATCGAGATTCATCCAAGTTGCTAATGACTGGTTTCATTTTCATTGCTGTATAGTATTCCATTGTATGAGCACACACCATTATCCATTCTGTCAGAGGAAGACATCTGGGTTGTGTTCCAGTTTTTGCTGTCGTGCATAATGTTGTTACAAACATTATTGTGTACGTATTCAGGCGCCTCTAAGCATTCATTTTTCTAGAGTATAATACCTTACCATGGGAGACAGATGTGGCGGTCTGCTTCCAGAAAGATTACAGCCTTGGAAACCCTGTGAGACAGTTCTCCTCTGTCCTACAGGGTCGCTATGAGTCAGAATCAACTCAACGGCAACAGTTTGGTTTTCGGATAATACACTAGAGATATTATCCAAGGTCTGCTAACCTAAAGGATGGCAGTTTGAACTCACCCTCAGAAGAAAGGCCTGGTGATCTGCTTCTGTAAAGATCATAACAGAGATAACCCTATGAAGTAGTTCTACTCTGTAACATATGGGGTTGCCATGAGTGGGAATCGACTCAAAGGCAACAAACAGGTAAGGGTTATGCCAAATCGTTTTTCAGAGTGTTTGTACCAATTTATTCTCCTCACCAAAATTTTCCAGTCTGGTGGGTGTGTAAAGGTATCGCTTGGTGGCTTTAATGTGTATTTGCCTTATTACTAGAACAGATGAGCATTCACTGTTTGGTTTTCTTTTTTGTGAATTGTCTGTTCAAATTCGTTGCCCTTTTTCTCGTGATTGTCTTTTTTCGTTGCTTTGTAGGAGTGTTTTTGTGTTAATAAATGCTGGATACCAATGCTTTGTTAGTTGTATATGTTACAAATATCTTCCAGTGTGGCTTGACTTAACTTACTTCATGGAATCTTTGGATTAAGAGTTCTTAGTTTTAATGCGGACAGAGGTAGTCATCTTTTCCCTTACGGTTGGTTCCATTCATGTCTCGTTTAGGAAATGCTTCCCTACCCCAAGGCCAGGAAGACACTCTCCTTGCTATCTTGTAAAAGCTGTACACCTACTCCTCACTTATTGACTGTCTCGTTATGTGATGTTTCACGTTTATGACAATAGTAAAAAATCTACTATCCGACTATTTTGCACATTAACAACATATGTCTGGCAGTAACAAACTCTGAGGTGCAAGGCGAAAGTAACACTGGCTGTGATGGTTGAGATTATGTGTCAGCTTGGCTGGGCCATGATTCTCAGTAGTTTAGCAGTTACGTAGTGATGTAATCTGGCAATTGTATAATGATATAATTTGGCACTTATGTAATGATGTAGTCATCCTCCATTTTGTGATCTGAGGTGGTTGTCTTCCATTTTTACATAACGCCTATTTTCGCATAACGATCTTGTGATTGTTAAGGTTATGTGTCAACTTGGCTGGGCAATGATTCTCATTGGTTTGGCAGTTATGATGTAGTTGGGCAGTTGTATAATGATGTGATCACCTCCATATGCTGTGAGTAGCCAATCAGTTGAAGGGGAGTTTCATTGGGGGTGTGGCCTGCATCCAATATAGGTGGAGTTTCTGGCAAGGCTCGTGGGCTTTTGTTTGCTCTCGATCCTGCAGCTGGCTCCTGTTCATCTGACCTCCAGTTCTTGGGACTTGAGCTTGCAGCTTACCTGCTGTCTTACCTGTCAATCTTGGGATTCGTCGATTTTCACAGCCTGTGTGCCAGAGCCCAGCTCTCTGACTTGCCGATCTTGGGTTCACCAGCCCCTGCAGTTTTGTGAATCTGGAGAAGCCTCCAGCCTGACCCACGGGCTTGGGACGTTCCAGCCTCACAACCGCGTGAGCTATTTCATTGATATAAATGTCTCTCTCTGTATATATATTTATACGCTTTACTGGTTTTGCATCTCTGGAACACTCAACCTAATACAGACCTGGTCTTTGGAACCTAACCATGTCGATAAGTGAGGAGTAGGTGTATAGCTTCTAAGGAGAAGCTTTGTCCTTCATATTTGAGTCTTCAGTCTCCCTGGAATTGATATTTGTGTGACGTTGGGAGTACACTCTAATTATTTTCCATGTGAATACCCAGTAATTCCAGCACCACTTATCGAAAAGACAGTCTTTTCCCATTGAGCTGCACTGCCACTCCTGCCCCTGGTGTTTCCGGGCTCAGCTCTGTTCTTTTGTCCTTTTTTTGTGTATCCCTGTGGTAATGACACAGTCAGTTACTGCCACTTTATAAAGAGCCTTGATAGCAAATAGGGCACGTCTTCTCCTTTTATTCTTCTTCTTTAGGAGTGTCTTGGACTAGTCTTGGTCCTTTGTATGTTCATATAGATTTTATATTTTTCCTATCAGGTTACACAGCCTGTTGGGATTCTGATTAAAACTGGGTCGATTTTATAGTTGATTCTGGAGTGAAATTACCTCATAATGTTGAATCTTTCAAGTTGCGAACATGAGCATATCTCTCTATGAGGTCTTTAATATCTTTCATAGTGTGCTATGATTTTCTCTATAGAGGCTTTCCATCTTTTGTTAGATATACGCCTTAAAAAAAGGAAAAAAAGTCTTCAACTCTAACTCTTAGTGACCTTGTGTGTGTCAGAGTAGAACTTGCTCCATAGCGTTTTCAACGTCTTGTGACCTTTCAGAAGTAGATCGCCAGACCTTTCTTCCAAGCACCTCTGGGTGGATTTGAATCACCAGCCTTTTGGTTAGTAGCTGAGCACTTAAACCCTTTGCACCACCCAGATATACACCTAAGTGCTTCATATTTTTTCATGCTGTTGTAAGTGGTATCTGTTATTATTTTGTGTTAGCTGCTGGTATGTAGAAATCGAGTTGATTTTTAGATAAGTTTGTGAATAACATCTGTGCTAAAATATTAAGTGCAATAATCTTTCTGTAGACTGTTTTTTTGTTTGATAATTTTTATGCACAGTTGATCTTTGGATTTGCACTCTGAAATTATTCTATCACAAAGAAAACCTCTGAAATTTCAGTTAATAATAATAATTTAGCTAATCTTACACTAATTGTGAATTTTGGTGATTTTACAATAGTTATTGAGTATAGTAAATACATTATGATTTGAAGAATAAGGGATAGATTCCTCATGAATGAAAAATTTCAGCACAACCCCAGGAAGAAATAGATCTGGGTGAAAAGCAAGGAAGGCGGTTCAACTCCAGGACTTCCTCTGCCCGGTGGCATCACCCAGGAAAGGCCTGGGCACTCCATCACCAGTCTGTAGACTCTTCTTTATTGTTCTTGTACATAATTATTTTGTTCCTGTTTCCAGTGCTTATACCTTTCATTTCATGTCCTCACCGTCCTGCTCTCAGCACCCCTTCCCAGTACACTGTCAAACAAAGAATGAGAGGTGTCCAGTCTTGTTTCTCGTCACATAGGGAGACCTTTGATTGTTTATCCCACAAGTGGTGTGTTTCTTGTAGACTTTGTAAAGATGCCTGTTATCTGATTAAGGAGGGTGTCATGGATTGAATTGTGTC